TACAGAGCAAATTAGACTCCTAACAACCACGCAAGAGCTGGTAGACACCCAAACTGTCCCCATCAGATAAACAGCACTTAAAGCTTTCATCTTTGAGAGAGAGGAGAAAATCAAGCTGCTTCAGATCTGAAAACATCCACAGGTGTTTCTGTCCATCCTTCCACTGTGAGAAGATGACTCAGCGCTATGGGTCTGAAAGGATGTGTAGCTGTCAAGAAGCCTCACTCAGAAAATGAGACAGACACATCAAACAAAGAAGCTGCTGGTGTTCTCAGTACAATGGACTGATGGAAGTTGTAAGAAAAGCACACACTAAATCCTGCAAAATGTGATATTTAATTGTTCAGACTTCTGTGTAAATGTATTTTTTCCTGAACCTAAAAGATGTATAACTGGTATTTAATGGCCATTTTGACAGAAAAGATAAAATAAGATAATTCAGTCTATTTCCAGACTATAATGTGCTTGGCACCATTTCATAATGAGAAATATTAGATATTTTACTTGCCAATATATCATTTTTGGCAGTGTGCACAGGAGTACATCAATGTGGCCTTAGGAGGAAATTAGCTCTCATTGGAGAACAGCTAATCCCACAGTGAGGGGTCCACGTAGTGTGTATGTGAGGATGAATGACAAGGCTGGACAGTGATGATAACAATAGCTTGAGCCTCAGCCACAGCTGATGTAGTGAACCTCCCGTGGGGTGAGGTCCAGGGCCGTTGAAGCTAAATCAGGATTAAAAACACACACACAGAATAAACACCACATCCAGTGAGCTCAAATGGAAATATGAAATTAAGGTCCTCAACCCCTGTCATCATGGTCCAGCCACGGTCCTCCTGCTGTTTAAATAAATGTGCGTGATTGGACGCAGGGCTGACAGCATGTGGCCAGATGCCTGGCAGCCACTGCTCTAATTCATTTGCAGTGCAGATGTTCTTTCAGGGCCAATGCATCTAATTTTACTATTCCACAGAGCTATTAATTAGCTGTAGCGTTTTTTTTCTGCAGAGGAGCTCTAATGTTTTATTCATTAAACTTGGAAATTAGGGAGGAAATGGGATTTCAGCTGTCGTATATTATTTAAAAATGGCTGAGGAAGATTTAACCTGCTGTCATTAATTGAATTCTGATTTTGCTTTATTCCAGATATAGAATTTGACTGGTATAACTGTTGTGGAAAAACATGTTAGTGATTTTATAGCAAGGTGGTATTTTCTTGAAATGCTTGGAATCCTTTTTTCTCCAAGCATGCCTTTGGTGGTTGTAGCCAAAGAGTTCAATTTTGTTTCATCAGACCACAGCACTTGATTCCAACATGCCTCTAGCTTATCTAGATGTTATTTTGCGTATTGCAGACATTGATTTTGTGATGAGATTGCAGTTAAGGTTGCCTTCTGATCACTTTTCCATGTAGATGATGTTTGTCCAAGAACTCTGCACAGTGGACCAGTTCATTACTATTCCTGTGCCAGCCAAATTTTCCTGAAGGTCCTTGGCAGTGATGTGGGGGTTTTGCTTTGCATACCTGGCCAAACAGTGAGCAGTGTGTAATTTGACCTGGGGTATCCAAACTTTTGCATACATCTGTACATATATTGTTGCATATGTCATCACTGTCACATCAAAACCTAGTAACAGCTGCCCTTTATATTCTGTTATTATTTAATCATGAATGGATCAATAGAAATGGCCCAAATTAATGTGCATTGTAGTTGAAGAAGCACTCTGGCTAAATTGAACAATTTGACCATTTCTACATCTGTTGTAAACATAGTACTCACCTACTACAGTGCCGTAACAGTCGGTTTTCCTCCTTCTGATGACATATCTTGGACGTAGGAGGAGTTGAAAAACTGCAGCTGCTCTGGGGTGGATCTTTGAGGGCTGTTTTGAAATGTTTTCATGGTGAATGCAGAAAGAAGCCAGAGAGCTGTCACTGCTAGGAAGTCAAATATCTTATTGCAGTTATCTTCAATCATCATTACAGTGGTGTAATGCATTACTGAAACAACAGAAATGAGTCGCCAGATGAGAAAGATAACAAGCTAAAAGCTGAAGTTAGCCATCTTGATATCTTATCCCTGCTTCTTTTTTCTGGCTGCAAGGGTAAAAACTCATCTTTGGAGGCTGTTTTGCGAAATATATGTAGAATCACTGTTTTCTTTATAATTCTGATCAACAACAAAAGTTACAGTAACACAAACGCTAGCTTGGTTTTTGCCTGTAGATCCGTGGCATCAGTTGCCACCCATCCAGGATTTCCATGGATTGCCCAGGTTTTTGGTCATCTGTCCAGGAAAAAAATAATTCCATTCCTGAACTCAAAATGTCAAGCACTCTCATATGTTAGCATTTCTTACAAAGTTTAAACTGCTTCTTTTTATCCAGAAAAAACATTTGTATACAAAGAATGGGTTTGATTGGTTCTGATTACCCTTAACAAAGGGACAGTTGTTTCAGAAAGGTGCACTGCTGGTGGCATTTAGGCACTTGACAGCACTGCAATGCCTTCATGAAAAGATAAGGTTCTGTAGCTGAACTACCTATATAGAACATTTCGTCTTTTAATATTTTCTTGTCAGAAGCTCGGCAGCATAATCGCACACACGCAAAACAAAGGGCAGCCCTGAACACACTCACAACAGACAAATTTGCGGTGACATTAGCGACTTGTCGCCTCCTAATGTGAAGGTATGGTTAGACTTCATCACAAGCGTGGTTAACCATCCACTTAATTTTATTAAAAATCAAGTCACTGACTGAGTGTCCAGGAATTTTACAGGGCTGAAGTGGCTACCCTAGAGTGGCTACGCTAGCAGTCAGGATTGGTTGGCACAACAGGGATTTCCAATGGTCGTATGATGTATTTGTGTAATGCATGCTGGGTATTGCAGTGAAACAATATAAATGAAACACTCCTTTATGAATAATGTTCGTTCTCCTAGAACACAGGTTGGCAACATGCAGCTCCGGAGCATCAACATGTGGCTCTTTCACTGTCCTGTTGTGGCTCCACAGCAGAATTAGATTTGTAGGTAAAAATAAAATAATCCTCCTTTACAGTAAAATAAAGCTCTGCTGATCGTTCAACACAGTTTAACAATAAATGGTCTTAAACTCTGGAGTTAATGTAGAACTGCTAATTCACCCTTTAACCCTGAAGATCAGACTGCTGGTCACCATAGCAATGCAGACAACATCTCACCTAGCTAGTAGCTACAAAAAGACAAAGAGAAAGATTTAAGACGAACATCAATAATTTGGAGACGAATGGACTCATTTGCGTTTACTCAGCTCGTTTCCTGGTACTTTTAATCTGCAGGGAGAAACTGTCAAACGCTACAAAGTTGCGAGGCTGAAGTCGTTTCTCGTTCGCCAGATTCTTGCTCAAATTCCCCCCTTCCACCTTAAATAGTGTAGCAGTTACATTCTGGCACCTCAGGCACCATTTAAGGTGGAACGTGAAAATCCAAAAAAGAATCTGCCAAATGAGAAGCAACTTCAGCCTCGTAAAAAAAAAAATGAGACGTTGAGAGACATTTTACAAGAAACTGCTCCACTTTCGCAGAAAGGTTTCCTGCCAGAAATGTGAGAAAAGTGGTTGTGGCTGGCCTAAAGCTTAAAGCAGAGCACAGTAAGTCTGCGTTTTTGTTCATATTATATTTTTACCCTATACTAGTACATCAGCACATACTGAGACATATTTACAACCAAGATGGTAAAATGGACATAAAATGTTGTGGCTCTGACGGTGGTTTGATTTTTGTTGAAAGGACAAAATGGCTCTTCTTAACATTTGGGTTGCGACCCCTGGTGTAGAAAGTTGTTTTGGAGATATGAGCTTTTCCTATAGCAGCTATGAAGTATGTACTAATATATCAGAAAAAACTCAGATTTGGTTTTTAGATACCTGATGTTATTTTTCACATGTGTAAAAAAAAACATGAAAAGTGTGAAATGTGCCCTTTATGTGACCTACAAGTGTTTACATGTGAAATATGTGAAATATATGTGACTTTTTTGTAAGGGATGTTATCAAATGACATGTATATTGTCCATGTCATCTCAAACCACCCTTATACCATTTGGTCTCATATCATTTGACCAATGGTGTAAAACACACAAACACACTAAACACCAGCTACCCTTTAAAATGTGAGCATTTGATTATGAATCGACCAGCAAGAAATGCTCCAAAATTATTCTGAATAAAATCCTATCACATTAGTGTACAACAAGTTAAGAATGTTTTTACAAGTAGTGGTAAAGTTTCAAGAAATAGTAAAGCTACCCATTCTGGAGATGCAATGTTTTTGCCCTGACAGTGACTGTATATTATGACAAATCATTCTGTATTGATATCGTTATATCTGCTGTGATGTCTGCTAAGGCAGCACTGCCAGCGTTTGCTCTGAGTGCCTTTTTCTCTGTGCCTGCAGATAAAACAATTACCTGTCTCTGTCGCTTAGCTTACCAAAGCTAAAAGGTGCAATTAGATCTCTACGTTGTGCTAATGAAGTTATCTGCAGTCTGATTGAGGCAAAGAGCGTTCAAACTGCAGCTTCAGTATAACTGATGACCGGAAAAAAAGCACCCTGCTTCCCCAGGCCTCACACTGCTGAGCTCGCTCAGCCCCCTGGCCGCTGTGGTTTAGCCGCTGCCCTGCTATTTTTCTCCCCAGCTATTTTTACTCCCCTCTTTATTCTTCCTCTCGTTTTAGCTGCGCTTTGATTCATCCATTTTGTCTTTTGTTTATAGACTTGCTCTGTCCTTTTCCATGCACCAGTTCACTCTCCTTCACGTTGCCTCTAGTCTAATTATCGCTGTCCATTCTCTCCCCTCGTTCTCTCTCTCTTTTTTTAACTATTTCATATCTGTGCTGTTGGCAGATTCCCTACCTAAGCCTCTTAAATTCTTGAAACTGTTTTTTTAAGAGATGTGGTTTATTGCATCTCTCTCTCTCTCTCTCTCTCTCTCTCTCTCTCTCTCTCTAGCGTGTTTGCTGCAGTCGGAGCTGGTGAATTATGAGCGAGTGAAGGAGTATTGTTTGAAGGTGCTTGGTCATCAGCAGGACCATTTTAAAGCCATGTACCGCGCTGGGATCGCTTTCTACCACCTGGGAGATTACGAGTGTGCCCTGCGCTACCTCCGCGACGCCAAGAGCCGCGAGCCCGCAGGTAGGCCTGCCTTAATCTGGGATGGAGAGCCTTAATTGAATATTTGGATACTTAGACTAATCTTAGTCCCAGAGAAAGTTTGAATGAAAAAACAAGTTTTCTAGGCAGCTTTAAAATTGCTTATCAGACCTATCTGAGAACTGTGTGTGCGTGGTTCTGAGCCTACGCTGTTAGAAATAAAGGTTCTGTGCAGGTACATTTTTCATTCATCAAGGTACAAACAATGTAAATGTTCCCTCAAAGGTACAACAGTGGTTTTAAGGTCCGGTTGTGAAGTTTTTCCCAGGTAAAAAGTTCATATTTGTACCTTTTCATAACCGAATGTTTTAAAACAGAACAATAAAATAAAAGCCTGGAGACGAGACGGGGTGTGTGGAGTCAGTACAACTTAGAAAATATAATTCCAGTGGATTATGGTACAGTTATGTTCCCTGGCTAAAGGTACTGAGATGTACCCTTGAGGGTTCCACCCCAGTGACGAGAGGGGCACTGCCCCAGTGACAGTTTAGTACCTTTATTTCTGATTGACATCCCTCAGTCCAAGACTCTCATCCTGCTAAGCAGAACTAAACACAACAAAGTGAGCTGAGGGAAATGAGTGAACCAGGAAAACCAGCTTCTAAGACTGAACTTTGGAGGTGTGGAAAAATATCCCTGCAAATTTCTTTGAAAAAACTGAAAGTGAGTCTCCTGAAAAGAATGGAAGCTGTAATAAAGGTAAAGAGTTGGACACACTTAATACTGAAAAATCTGAAAATATATTTAGTTGTTGAGGCTACTGTGTCATTCTGTGTTAAATATATGCTTTATGCTTTTTTCCGACATGAAAAATTAGTAACTTGCACTTAATGCCCATTATGAAGGGTGGTCTCTGACTTGTGCTCTAGTGTTCCTGGAGATCTACTTTCCTGCAGACTCCAGTTCCATTGACAGTCTTTCACACCTGCTCCAGATAATTAACGTCTTCAGAAGTCCTTGATTGGCTGAATGAGATGTATTAGTGTTAGGTAAGGGGGGGTGGGGGAAGCATGTTAGATGCAGGGTGGAACTAAACTTCAGGGGCTGGATTCTCAAAGCTTTATGGAGTTTACTAATGACAGCCATCGTAACAGCCTCATGACTCGTCTTAACCGAGCACTGCTCTGTGACCAGCTAATGACCCTCCCCATGTCTCATTGTCAAAAGAAGGACGTCCTGATTGTTTATGTTACGCATATGTACATAAAAACATATGTGGATTACAGGTAAATCAGAATGATCAGATAAGTGGCTAGGTTTTCTTTATATTATACTATTGTTTACTTTAAATGAGTATTATACAGTATTATAATGTGTTATCTTAAATCACTTCTGTCCTCTAAGAGCTTATTTCACTGTGCTCTTTAAAAGCTGATAGATAAAATAATCCTCCATGAGTTTTGATGGCCTTTCCATTGATTTCAGTTTGGTTTACAATAATTAGGAGTGTTCTCTTCATGACATTGTCGAAAATCCAGAAATATTTCCTGGTTTTATCCTGGTAGGTCGATTCTGAAGTGGTCTTTACATCAATCACAAACACAGATGGCTCCCAAAATTTTCTGAGAATCACTGGAGCAGGTAGTTAAGACCAAGGCTCTAAAAGATACGATGGTCCTAGGGCAGTGGTTTCCAACTCTGGTCCTGGAGAGCTACCTTCCTGCAGAGCCTAGCTCCAACCATAATTTGCCACATCTGCTCCAGCTAATCAACCTCTGCCCAAGTCCCTGATTGGCTGGATCAGATGTATTAGAGTCAAGTAAGGGGCGGGTAAGCTTACTGGATACAGGTTGGACCTAAACTCTGCAGGAAGGTAGCTATCCAGGGCCCAAACCCATTTCACCCCTTGCCCCTACCACTAAGCCCTACCCCTCCATTTCACGTGCTCACGCCTAGGTGTAGGGTGTCCCGATGCTTGTTGACAAGAGGAGTAGGGCGAAGTGTTAGGAACGGAGGTTTTCAGAGGCTCACTTCAAACGGAGTGTTACAAGAACAAAAGAAAAATTGGCAAGATGGCTGCGCAAGCGACCAAAGAAACTCACAAATGTGAGTATTTATATCTTAAAAAATTTCGATGACCATTGTATTATCTTAGTTTAATGTCATTTCAATGTATTATGGTCATTTTCTTCATAACAGTCATAAAAAATCGTTAGTAGTATGCTGGTGTCTCGGTAGTTAGCTAGCTAATGTCCCTGTTCCTCCTTAAGTGGTGCAGCAGTTCTGACAGCTGGGGCGCCAGAATGCAACTCCTGCACCATTTAAGGTGAAACGGGAAACTTCAAACAAGAAGCTGGTGAATATCTGACTTCAGTTTCATATCACCAAAGAATTAGGGGTGGGCAATAATAAATAATTGTCATCCTGTCTTTGAAGTCATATGATGCCCTAATTTTAACTAAAGCCCAGCAGTGAGGAGCTGAACTTTATCCTCCTCTGCCATCACTGCAGACCGGAAGGGTCACCTATAGAGCACCGCTAGTAGCTGTTAATGAAGTAATGTTCTTTTTTATTTGAGGGTCCCATTTGGAAGAGACCACATGGTTGTTCTAGGGGGTTGTGACTCACCTAAGTGCTTTGAGAGTCTGGCCCCACGAAAGTAAATCTCCAGAAGGAGGGTTGGTGACCACAGCCATACGTGTTGTTTCATAGCTCTGATGCCTTCACTATTATTCTAAAACATGAGAAACCTTCTGTAAGTATATGTGTCCAAACCTTAGACTGGACTGATCCTAATAACGTTGTATGTTTGCCTTTTCTATGTCTCCCCCCTCCCCTCATCCTCTCTGACCACCCTTTGTAGACACAAACGTGTTGCGGTACATCCAGCTGACGGAGATGAAGATGAGTAAGAGCGGTCAGCAGGTGCGAGAGAGCGGCAAAGAGGCTTTGGGTTAAGGGCTCGTCCGCCTCCGCCAAACTTCTCTTCACAAATCTCTCCCCCTTTTCTCCTGCACCCTTCGTCCAATGGACAACCAGGACCCATGTACTGTGCCCTTCTCTGAAGATGGACTCCTTTTGGCACAGATACTGAACAGAAGAATCCCCCTTTGACTCTTCCTATCGCTCTGAATCTTCTCTGTCCCTTTAAAACCAACCAACCGACTGCCCCGGTGCTTTCTGTGTCCCAGGTACTGACTGACCAACCCATGACGATGAGGAAAAACAACTACAAAACGCAAAGAGAAGTGCTGTATTATAACGATCAAAGCAGTAAAGGTCTAAAGAAAGATGGCAGTTTCACATGGACCTCTTAAAGGACCTTCTGTTCTATCATACGAGAAGTTGAATAAGCAGTGAAGAGTAGCTGTAGAGAGGTGGAGGTGTTTCTGTGTGGTCACAATCTTTATCTTTAAACGAGAAGAGCACACATATCAAAGCCACAGTGCGAGCCTGCGATAAAGCAATTGACCCTTGGGCTCGAGCCGAGCCCTTTTTCATCCCACACCTCGCACTTCCTCGCCGAAGGACTCAAGCGAAAGGTTGCTGTTTCAGAATGCAATTGGATACTGCTGAGCTCTATCCACATCTGCCTGCTTTTCTGTTTTCTGTTTGTTTGTGTTTTTTTTTATTTCTCTCTCTCTCTCAAATTTGGGCATATTTTCAACTGAGGTTCTGAACTGTTTCAATTCAAGGGCTAATTCAAGTGTTTGTAATTCGTCCTCTGACGCTTTCTCCTTCTGTTTCGCTGTTTGCTGGTCATTGTACAGTACATTCAGTGGTTGAGGCAAGTTCGTGATGTTTGTCTTTCTCCAAGGAACAAAAAAAAGCAGCGAATTTTGCCGTCCCGATGTTAACTGGTGTTTTCCGTGAACCGCTGTCTTGAATATGTCGTCTATTTCCTTTGGCACATAGTACAACTGCAGAATGTTGGGCTCCAGTCACCCCCCTGCCCACCCCTCAAAGAGATTGACCAATCAGAATGGGGCAAATTCTGCCAGAGATTGAGCTAGAGATTGCACTGTGTAATATTAATCATATCGGCTCTATGAACTTTAACTCTGTCTGCTACGTAGAGAACAGGGGTTGGTTAGCACAGCGTTAACTTCTGGGCCTGTAGGGGGAGCTCTCACAAAAATGTAACATGAAAATGACCAACATTCATCAGTTTTGTCGAGAACTCTGAATGTTATAAGAACTTGTAGAGAGGAGAATTACCACTCTGTAATGTCTTCTGGGTTCGTCAAACACTAGAGGGTGCTCCCGAGCAATGTGAATGTTTAAACATTTTTAATGTGAAAGAACACATAATTTCCTGAGCACAGAGCAGCATAAAACATTTTAACTGCACTGTTATATTTTTAAGAGTTTTTGAATGATTTTAAATGAAATTTTTCATGTTGTCAGTGAACGTGAATAGCCGATGAGCTGCTCCGCTCGCCAACCAATCAGCACTCAGTACCAGTAATGCCAGCGTTCTGCTGCCCGAAACCTGTTTGCTGTAGAAAAAAGGAAACATACAGGTCAGATTTTTTTGCTTTTTTAGTGAAAGACATCCTTCTACTTTCTAAAATCAAAGGAAATTCTGGGCGAGTGATTAGAAACTATTTTAACTTTTCGTTTGTAGCCATTTAGTTCCATTTACCCCCATTCATTGAGGACTCACTCGCAGGCGCCCTCTGGTGTTTTGCAGTCATGTTTTGGTGTAACGGAAGAAATAGGAAGTGGCCAGGCTCCTCATGAACTGACTCTGGTTATATTTTGTTAGGGTGGGATATGTTTTTGATTTTTCTGTATTAAAACAAAAAGTAAATATATTTCAGAAATATTAAAAGTATATCGACTTCAGTTAGTAGAGATGGAAATCAGCTGTATTTTTATACATGATTAGAAAGCCAACAATATGCAGTTGTTGCTACCGAGCATAAAGTAAATACAGAGTTGTGTCCTGATGTGGGTGAGGTTGGTTGGCACATTGATTTTGGGTTTGGCCTCCCTAATCGTAGGGCTATTGCCTCAAACATATATTATTTTGGTAAAACTTTTTAATAACAGGCGTTAATAAACATCAACTTAATCATCATCTAATACTTTGCTACTTACTATTAATAATTATATAATAGTTCCAAATTAATGTATAAATGGTACCATTTGAATTGTTAACCATTAAATTAGTGATCTATGAATTATTATAGAAAACTAGTCAATAATTATAGTTTGTTAATAATGATTTAGTTATTTGATACTTATAACATATAACTTGAAATATTAAACATTTATTTAGATACACAAAAACAGTCCATAATAATTATGAATGAATTATCTACATCCTGTTTTAAATGATATTTTTAAATGGTATTTTTTTAATCTTGCTGCTGTATGATGCATAAACCTTTCCTTATCAAGATGTTAATATATATTTCTAATTATAAAGTTGTAACAACGTATTTATAAAGATATATCATAATACATATTGCAATTAATTATAATACACTCATGAAAAGTGCTTTCATTATTTGTGTCACTAAGTGAATGGTTAACAATTCAAATGGTAGTACTTATTATAGCACAACTAACAATTATATAATTATTAATTATCATTTACAAACTACTATGTAATGACTATGTTGCTATTTGTAAGGGCTTGTTATTATGAAGTGTTACCACTATTTTCTATTTCAAAGTAAACCAAAACTAAATAGCATACTGAATAACACAACTAGAAAACTTTGAAGTGAAAATTAGATATTAAATATGAATTTTTAAATATGAAATATAAATAGTGGTAATAGTCATTTTTTCCAAAGGGCACCTCTAAGTGCAGGAGTTACGTACTTTGTCCACCAGTGTTCAGTACAAGCCAATGATAAACAATTCTTAATGTTTAATTGGTTCAAAAATGTAATTTACTTACCATTTAATGTTTATGCTTTAATAATTTCTATTTTGCTGCTGTCGGAACAAAACTTCGTATGTCCATTTTTGGCGTTTTTCACTTTTTGACATTGTTTGAAAATGCCTGTTTGCCCCTATATTGTGTGTAAACTTTATGAAGAATGGACGACAAGAAACGGCCCAAAATGACTAGGGAAAATGTCTGGTTCCATTGACTTACATTAAAAGTAAATTAGGATTTTTCCTTTTCCTGTAAAGTTACCATTTTGGAGATACAAGGTTTTCTTCCGACAACAGTGATTTGTTGCTTCGTTCTTTGAAAATTAGAGGTTTTTTAACTTTGTGCCAACCGTCCCTATAGTGTGTGCCAACCAACCCAATGTTGAGGCTGTTTGGCAGAAATGCACAAATGAGTTTTTGTCATAAATGCACTTATTTCAGGAAATATTTTCTGACAAAGTGTCCATTTTTAGGTAAGATGTTCAGCTTTCATTTGCTGTTAGTGGGCTTATCCTACTGTACAGTATGCCCAGGATTTAGAGAGTGAAAACTGTGCCAACCAGCCCCCTCTCCCCTGTCGAAATGTGTCCCTACAAAATATGGCCTATATGATGGACTAATAATATAACTTTAGCTTACATGCAAACATGAATGATGAACAAAACCCCCTTTTTTCCAAACATTAACTAGCTTGTACATATCAACTATTCTGAATGACGCATCTATCCAAATCAACATCCATGTTACAGTGTTGCTGATAGTGTTGCACCAAAACAAATGAACATGGGATTGAAGACTTTGCAGGAAGACATTCTTTTAGCTCATACAATTTGCTCTCGATGGTGATTTTGTTCATTATTGATTTTTGTAATGGTCATCAGTATCCACTGGAATGGCCGGTCCCAGCTTTACTGCACGTCTTGTACTGGGAGCAGATTTTAACCTCTGAGAAACGTGGCCTGTCTCGGCGCAAGCACCTGTTCTGCCATTGAGTCTCTGATGTCCTGCATATCGAATTCTAATGTCTAAATGGGGACTTGCCTTTTGAGAACGCAGACACTTTTGACAGGACACATCGCTCTTAGTTTCCAGCTCTGCATTAATGGCTGCGAGCAGCTGCAGATAAGACAGATGAAATTTTCTGTCTGACCTAATATGAGCCAGGGAGATAATTGTGTCAGTGGGGCTCAGGGGGACGCCAGAGCGTGGATTTAGATGAGGGGGGAGAGAGAGAGAGAGAGAGAGAGAGAGAGAGAGATGTAGAGCAGAGCAGAGAGAGGGAGGCTCTGACCTGAGATGTGTCCAGCTCCGTCTTCCTGTTACTGGTGAGATGTGGGTGTGATGTGATCAGAGCGACTGCTGGTAAATCAGTGAGGTACAGAGTGACCTGAGAAACCAGTCCAGCAGCGCCTTTCTAGAACTTTCTGTATCATGTACACTTCCTGTCAAAAGTCTGGGGACACTGCTCTATTTCCAACAGGACTTGAAGGTCGTGTCAGTTTGGGGCTCAGATGTGTTTTCTGAGTCACTGCAAAAATGATTTATTGATTTAACTTCAAAAAGTAACTAACCTGGTTGCCTTAAAATTTTCAGGTCATTGAACTTAACTTGATAGTAAGTTAACAGAACAATAATCTGTTTTACATTCTGTTCATTTATTATTTTAAGTTCAGTGAACTCAAATTTTTGGTATATGGAAATATAAAGAATATGTCTATGTAGTTTATTGGTGCAGTCTTGTGCACTCTCTCTCTCTTCGCTCTGCCAAAAAGGTTCTGATGCGCGATGCCATAGAAGAACCACTATTGGTTCCCTTAAAAAAGAACCATTTTTGTAAAAGAGATGTGTGAATGTGAAGAACCTTTTAAAAGTTTTAAGAACCTCCACATCATGTCACGGTTGGAGGGAGAACCCGTAAATTGGTATAGAAGCTTTTCGTTATGTGAAGCTTCCAACTCACAAATTGCTTTTTAAAAAATTGTTCACCCTGACCAAAACAACAAGAAATCCATCTTTGTTAGAACATGCAAATGAGTTCAGGTTTCAAATTTGGCAGAGGTTGGGTTGGGTTTCAAAGTTGCTGGTACTGGTCAGGTTAGACCTTCTATTTCATGCTAACTAATCCTAGACTGCTAGTCTAGTTGGCAAGATAGATAGATTTATCTTTAGTCTTAAATATTTAGGAGATTCTTTTGATCAGAGTAAACCTGATTAGTCTTTAACTCCTTACATGGTCAGGTCCCACTGGCACACCCAAAGTTTCATTACACACTTCTATAACCTAATAATAGTTCAACCAGTTTGCATTGAAGTCCCTGTAGTTCCTGACTAATAAGGCTTAGCGTATAATAAGCCTGGGATTTTAATTGGTTAACATATCTGGCACTTTTTCTGCAAGTTTGAAATAAAAAACATAACATTTAACAATATACATGTTTGTGCATTTTTTCCCAGTATGTTAAATTCAGTAAATAAACAGTGCACCAGTGTTATTTTCACTTAGAAACCCAACAAAAAACACCATTTGACCATTGCACCCAAATGGCCCTATCATTCCTTCATTTTGTCTCACTTTTGTCTCTCTTTCTCTCTCTCTATCCTTGTGTTTGTCTTTAAACCCTTAAAATCCCTGGCTTATTACATATTAAGCCTTATTATTCAGTAACTACAGGGACTTCAATGCAAACTGGCTGAGCTATTCTTAGGTTATAGAAGTGTGTAATGAAACTGTGGGCCTGCTGGTGAGCTCTGACCATTTAAGGGGTTAATATAAGTTATATCTTTAATATATAATAGGGAGAATGTACAGAAGTAATAATGAGTTAATTACCTTGTTATTTTGAGATAACAAAAGTTGTCATCTTGAGATAAAGCGTTAATTATCTTGTTATCTCGAGATAACTAACTTGTCAGTTAATTATCTTGTTATTTTAGGATAACAAAGTTGTCTTGAGATAATGAGTTAATTATCTTGTGATCTTGAGATGACAGTTGTTATCTTAAAAGTTATCTTTAAATAACGAGTTTATTTGTGATCTCAAGATAACAAAGTTGTTATCTTGAGATAATGGGTTAATTATCTTGTGATCTCAAGATAACAAAAGTTGTCACCTTGAGATAACAAGTTAATTATCTTATCTCGAGATGGCAAAAGTTGTTATCTTGAAATAACAAATTTGTTGTCTTGAAATTAGTTATGTTGTTATCTTGAGATAGTTGTTTAGAGATAATGAGTTAATTATCTTGTGATCTCAAGATAACAAAGTTGTTATCTTGAGATCACAAGATAAGTAACTTGTTATCTCAAGATAACAATCCAGAAAATTATAACAAAAGCTCATGGCCTCTCTGGACTTCTGTAAAAACGTGTTCATTTGTATGAAAAACATTTCCAACAGTTAAGTGTCCCCAAACTTTTGACCGGTACCGTACATCACCCTGACTGTCTTTCAAGTTCTTTTTTTTTTTCTTTAATGAGTTTTTAAGTTCACTCCGCAAAGATGCCACTGATGCTTTGATGGACTCTTGATGGTCATTAGCTCTGCTAACCGCGTCTCTTCTGTCCCTGTGTGCTGGCTGTCCTCAGCCGAGTCTACACTAAAGTTACACGACACAGGCGTACGTGTGATTGTTGTCACGTGACAACAACAAAAGCACAAACAGAGAAGCCGAATGGACCGAAACGATCCGTGCTTGTTTTCTTTGATGTCAGTTGAGGTAGGTGTTCGTCGAATGTCCAAGTAGATGTGTGGTTTTGAAACAGCTGTATAAAAAAACAAATGGTTGTGGAAAGCTTTACTTTTATCAGATATATGAGAAAGTAACTGAGGAATAAAGTACAATACAATAAATAAAATGAAATAAAAGAGATTATTGAAAAAATATATATATTTAAGACCGAAGGGGGCGACTTTGTACCTGTGTATATGTTAAAGATCTTCTGTTTATTGGCCTTTTTGTGATGTCATAGCTTTGTTCTTGTCCGGATTGCAGTCCAAAGGGTTTGGGGTTTGCCCATTGACCTCCCGAGTGGACGTTCATCTGAAGCGGGGTGAACATCCCGAGGGTGAGAGAGAGGGAGGATGCCTGAGGGGTGAGGGTACCCTGCCCACAAAAAACAAGAGAGAGAACGTCACTGGTTTCTTTTTCCTTTTCTTTGCCTGTTCTGGAGAGAGAGACTCGGACTTTCTGGTTGTTCTGGTTCTTGTCCCACCATCTCGCTGGTTCATGCCCCACCCTCCTCGGGGGGTGTGTGTGTCTCATCGTTTTTTTCGAACCAAACATCGGAAGACCTGAGAACTGGTTACATTTACCTGCAAGCCCAGGAATGCACTACTGATTGGTATCTGAAGAGTACGAATAAACTTAAAAAAAGAAAAACAGTAAATGTGTGCTGGATGGTTTTTACATTATCAGACATAAAGCATGTAAAAATGTGTCACTTTAACTGCATGATTAACTATAAATAGAATCAGTTCTAATACTATTAAAGACATTAAAGATAGTATTAAATTTAAATTCCCATTTTTTCAAAATTTCTGCTTAATTAAATGGTTAAGATGCTCCGTTCTAAAGAAACATAGCTTATCGCAATAATCAAAGCTGATTAGTCATTGGACATTATTTATTTAAACCCTTAAATAATTCCATAGTCTTATTTATTTACAGAAATGTTCACAGTGGTGGTGATAGGAACCAGACGTCGAGTTAAATTCTTCTTAAAGCTCCTTCACAGAATGTTTTTACACAAAATATTTATGAATACGCTTCCTCATGCCTAAGACATTGTTTTACAATAATTTTGAGAGGCTTTTGGCCTAAAGCATATTTTTTTTTCATCTATTCATGGCAGAGGGGTACATGTAGGGAGTTATAAGGCAAAATAGTCCAAAAGAAAACCACTAATTTACCAACATCAGCATATTAAAACTCAGAAGACACGTGTAGGTTCACTGGTGGTTTTGGACAGTAAATAAAATGGCTATATTTGTGTTGTAGACAGTGCGACCCCTGGTTTCTATCACCACCACTGTAAAGAAATCTGAGCCTTGTTTACATCTCTGAATCATACCAGAATGATCAAATCGAACGGAATTGAGTCACAGTGAATGAGATTCCATGATTCACTGAATCATTGCATAAGAATCAGAATTGAATTAAATCATTGTGAGTGGAAAAATGTACATGCCTAACCAAAACTATTTACTATTATTAACCAAAACAGTTTATGAAGGCAGTGCAACTAAGCAGCCAGATCCAAATTCATGACGACACATGTCGTCTTTGACACTCTACAGTAAACATATACCTCCTCCACAGTCTTCCTTAAAGGTTGATGTCCTAAACCTTAGTTTGGATATAAAAGTTATAAAGTCAGCCTAAGCAGGCATGTGTGCTTTAGCATCAGTGCTCTGTACAGCAGCCTGCCTACACTCCCTAACCTGCCCACCCACACCAAATCAATACCATGAGCCAGAACACAGAGAGGATATTCACCTTGAGAAGGGATCATTTTTAGCTTCAGGAGGAAGTGTTTTGTGGCTGTTGTTAAACCGGATATCTACAGTTAGTCTATTCAATCAACATGCTTTTTTTTTTTTGCATGATTGTTTTTGAGTCTACTTCCACTTTTGTTGTTGAGTCATTCTATCGAAACTTCTATTTTTGTGTCCCTGGCGTTTCCAGATATATTACACGTGAAAAACATGTATTTAAATTTTAAAATAAAACAAGTTATTTTAACAATTACAACTTTTTTGAGCCGACAATTTAGCAATATTGGTTTTTAAATCAATTATCCAAGCACCAAGAGCTTGCCCCCACAGTCATGTGTAGTGGTCGAGAGCCATATTTTGGGTTAAAAAATGTTTTTCTGCAATTTTAACTGCAATAATCTATACATGACTATGAAATATATGAATTAAATGACAAAGAAAACAAATGCCAAATAAATATTATAAGATATATAATGTAGGTTGTTGTCCTCAGGAGTCGTGTCACTGGTGTTACTGCATAACATAAAATCTCTTATTTTGAAATAAAAATCACACTGATGACATCACTCGACTTCCTTTTTCCCATTTTCTCAAGCTCTATGAAGAAAAGCACATGGTGAGTCCACTGAGTCTTTCAGTTATCAGAGATTCTCATTTAGCTCATGATTTCATATGAAGCTTTTAGCTGAAGTCACTGGTGTGACCTACTTTATTCTTAGGTCATTAGGTCATAGAAATGGATTAAATTACATATTTTAGTGGATATTTTCCATGATTGACAACATGTGGTTTGATGCTCTGTAGCAGCCATTTTGTAAAATGCATTTTTCATTAAAATGTCTCTGGAGTTAATTTTCTTATGGGTAACACCAATGAGGCTCAGTAACACCAGTGATTCGTATGGATAGATAAAAAAGTGTACATTTCTGTAGAATGACCCTGTTGTTTTCTTTAAACACAGTGGACACCTTGGCTGGATATATCATTAATAATATATATATATATATATATATATATATATATATATATATATATATATATATACATATATATATATATATATATATATATATATATATATATATATATACATATGTATATAGGGGTGCGGGAAAAACTCGATTCTTAGATGCATCGCGATGCGGACGTGAACGATTCTGAATCGATTCACAAATGTCAAAAATCGATTTTCTAAATATTTAATTTATAACGTAATGTTGACGGAACGCAAAAGGCGGAACTGGAAGTGGGTAAGTGCAGCGCCCGGACAGTCTGTGGCGGCACACAACAAAAACACTACTGGATGAGTGAGAAATCCGACCGGCTCCCTCTGCATTAAAGCCAGGTTAGATCAGGAGTCACAACACAAATGATAAGAAGAGCCATTTTGTCCTTTCAACAAAGTCAAATCACCTTGGGAGCCGCAACATTTAATGTCCAGTATGTGTTAATGTCGTATTATGGGCTAAAAATATAAACGAGAGCGCAGATTTACTCTGCTCTGCTTTAAGATTTAGCTCACCTTTAGCCGCTTTCCTCCCATCTCCGCCAGGACACATTTCTTCAAAACTAGAAGAGTTTCTTGTAAAATGTCTCAGCGTCCGGCTGTTTTACGAGGCTGAAATCGCTTCTGATTCACCAGTTTCTCGTTCTAATTTTCCCGTGTCACCTTAAATTCTGCCTTAGGCGCCGAATGTAACTGAGGCACCATTTAAGGTGGAACGGGAAGATACAAAAGAGAAGCGAGTTCATTTTTTTTCAACTCTCGTTGCAGATTTAACCAACCGCGCTGCTTATAAATGCGAATAAGTCCTCCAAATGTTCGTTTTAGTCTGTTTTTTCGTTCGCTGCTGGCGAGGCCAGACCTCGGTGCTATGTGACCTGCTGTCTGCTGTCTGTTCTCGGTCGTTGAGAACCAGGGCTTTCGCGCTATGCTGCACACTTTGGAGCCGAGATTCAGCGTCCAGTCTCGAAAATACCCCTAATGCATTTACATTATGGATCATTACAAATACTTTGCTTTAAAACTACCAAGTCCTCAGGCAGTAGGAAGATAGAAATCCTGTATAGAGAAAAAAGATGCATCGATAATCGTTTTATAATCACATCGCAGCCCTCTGAATCGTAATCGAATCGAATCGGGAGGTGCCTAAAGATTCCCACCCATATATGTGCGTATATATATATATATATATATATATATATATATATATATATATATATATATATATACATGTAATATATGAAATACAGATAGGCTAGATTTTGAAACACAGCCACATCATTAATGACAACCCTGTTGGTTCCTAATGGGTTTTGTTATATATTTTGGCTTTTTTGATGGGTTAATATCACAATGTAAAGGATCCTAATGGTTTACCAGGTGACCAATGGCTGAATCTAAATTTCACTCCTCCCCTTTCACCCCTCATTGCTTGCTCGCAGCTAAACACAGGGTCACAACATTTCATACAAAGAAACAACAGTGCCCTAGTTAATCTGATAACGGAATTAAGGGAAAACATCTCTACATATCTGAGAAGACACAAAAACAATATCTGAGTTGATTTCCATTCTGCCAAACTCAAGTCTGTTCAAAACAATACAAAGTCTTGTTCTATGAGTGCCGCTGTACTGAAATGACATCATGGATTTGTAACTCTGAGAAGTCAAAGGTGTTGAGAATCTCCTACTTTCTGAAAGGGAATTACAAGCATGCCTGTTGGTTAACTGAAATGAAATTTTGCTGTTGAATGGCAGGGAATTTTTTGATACTCAGTTATACTGAAGTAATTCTGTCAGTATCACAAAGGAATTCAATTTTAATACTGAGACATAGTGGATGCAGCAGATAAGTATCTTAAATAATTGGTTATAATTGTCAATAATCTATAGATCAAGAGCAGGGCCAAATGCAGGTCAAATCTGGCAATTAGTTTTTCTATTTCTATTATTATTATTATTATTATTAGTAGTAGTAGTAGTAGTAGTAACAGTAGTAGTAGTATTAGCTTAATATAATGCATTTATCAAATAAATTTAAACACATCTGATGAAATTTGGACATTCACCAGACACTCTGGCAGGTGGATAACAAAGTTCATTTGAAATCCAAATCAGGAGAACAGCAATCATGAATGCAGTGAGATGTGCTTGCAGTGCAAAAGGCTGCCATAGACAACCATCATCCAGAAGAAAAGAAGGAAAGGGTAGTTTTGGTCAAGTGACCACAGAAGCACAAATCACAGCTGCCAAAATTCACCGGAGGATTCGACTTAGCATGACACTCTGAAACCATTTGTTCCTGTGCTGCAGTGCTACTTTCATTTGAAACTGCAAAAGAGTATTATATGGACCTGAACTGTTCATCTGAGTTAATGATCAAGGCTCTGCAAGTAGAAGTTTCCATCACACATCACACTCAGGCCCAAACTGGAGCAGACTTGCCTGAGATGAACCTTCATGTGCTAATTATCCAGAGGGGGTGAAGTGAAGGAACATCCAAGCACTGTGACACCTGAAAGGTGACAAGTGCAGGTCAGTGTGGTTTAGTCTGGATCTTTCTACATCACAATGTTGTTAAATTTAATAAATGATGCTTTTGCTTGATTGTATATACATTTCAATAATAGATTAATGTTGATAATATATCTAAATAATCAAATAATCTCAAACCCCAGCGTGAAACTGTAATTATTTGGCTCTTTCATGTTTCAGATGAATTTTTCGTAAATCATGTTTTTAGACTGTTTACATTTTGGTTATTATTGGGCAAACGTCACAATGAACACGGCTTACCACTGACCCGCTGTTCTGAAACTGAGACTTGACGGCACTTATCTGGGGCTCATTAATTTATTCAGTTTCCTAATCATTTA